GTGGGTATCCAGCAACCAAACACGGCTAAACCAGCCTGAAAGTCGGGGCGAGGATGTTGGACACAAAGGACAAATCGGGGCGAAAATTTCCACCCGGAACGAGACGGAAACTGCCTCGTTCGGGCTGATTTTGAGGTGGGTTTAAAAGCGTCCCAGGAAAAACTGAGCGTTTCCACCCAATCTGTCCCCCCCCCCTTTGAGATGAGAAGGCAAAAAAAAAAAAAAGACTTTTGCTGAAAATTTCCATCACGCAGGAGGCGGCTGAGGGTTTCCTGCCCTGGCTGCCCCTTGCCAGATTGACCATTCTCATGTAAAACGCCCCGAAAGAGCCCGCCAAACCCTGCCTTACGCCCAGGAAAGCAATATTAAAGCCTGCTCCTTCACCGGCTGTTAGAGACGGGGTTTCACGGGGGGGAAAGGGAAAAAAAAAAAATCTCAGAAAAACGTGCAAATCATTGCTGTTGCAATAATCGTTCAAATTCACACCGAAATCCTTTTCGTTACCGACGTGAAGATTCTCCCTGACTTTGCAACGTGAAAAAAAACAACCGAAACCACACACATTTATTAGTCTTAATCACAAAATATCGCAGCGCGATCCTCTTCCGCAGGAAACGCCCTGGAAAAACAGGCAGAGGCCGCCGGTCTCGGCCAGGAGGACGCGTCAGGCGCCCTGTGAAGTGCTTGGGGAATGCATCAGCGCGTCGCAGGCCGAGCAGCTGTAATTACACGTTTCCCACGTTTTTTGGGGGGGGTGTCCAGGGTGTTCAAAGAGGGCTGACGCAGGCGTTCAAAGAGGGGAGTGACACAGGCGTTCAAATGGGTGACACAAGTGGGGTGTCCGGGGCGTTCAAAGGGGTGACACAAGTGTTCAAAGAGGGGGGTGACACAGGCATTCAAAGGGGTGACACAAGTGTTCAAAGAGGGGGGGGTGACACAGGTGTTCAAAGGGGTGACACAAGTGTCCAAAGAGGGGTGACACAGGTGTTCAAAGGGGTGACACAAGCACTCCAAGAGGGATGACACAGGTGTTCAAAGGGGTGACACAAGTGTTCAAAGAGGGGTGTGCGGGGCATTCAAAGAGGGGTGTCTGGGCTGTTCAAAGGGGTGACACAAGCGCTCAAAGAGGGGTAACACAGGTGTTCAAAGGCGTGACACAAGCGCTCAAAGAGGGGTGACACAGGCGTTCAAAGAGGGGTGTCCGGGCCGTTCAAAGGGGTGACACAAGCGCTCCAAGAGGGGTGACACAGCCCAGCCCGGGAACAGCAAACGGGGGTCCCCGGCAGGAAACGCCTCCCAACACCGCCAACAGGGATTTGGGGGGTTTATTGTTTTCCTCGCAGATTGAAAAAACAAACGCGTGGCCCGTTGCGTGGTCCGGCACGACCTTGAGAGCTTCCCGAAAAGGGACATTCAGGTGTCCTTCACGGGAGGAAAAAATAATAATAAGGTTTGTTTGTGCTCTGCTGGGAAACGGGGCGCGAGCGGAACTGTTCTTCCGGGGGGGTTTCTCCCCAAAAGACCCCGGGCGCTGCGCAGGGACGCGGCCCGGCCTGCGGGTCCCAATGTCACCCGGGGCGTTGTGCCCGTGTGGGTCCGGGGAGCCATCCCTGTCCCTGTCCCCGTCCCCATCGCCGTCCCTGTCCCCGTCCCCATCCCTGTCCCCATCCCATCCCCGTCCCCATCCCTGTCCCCATCCCA